GGGGGACCCGCCAAAGGTTTTTAGGACAGTCTTCATTCGTGGTGTTCTGGTGGCGAGGAATCGGGCGGGGGTTGCATCTTGTCAGCCGTGGGAACCCCTCAACTAGATCAGAGTTGCTGTTGGCACGAAATCCCGGCGGAGCACGTGTACGGCGGGAACCTCCACACAGGACGTGGGTATGTGTTGGCAGGAATATCCGCGTTTTTTTTAGTATTGTGTGGGGTGTCGCGGGACCTGCCTAGATATGGTGTGTCTAGTTGCAGTCGTGGTGCTGGCAGGAATCGGCTGGAACTCTGTCCTCTGTAGGAGCGGACGTTGGTCCAGCCTGTCGGATACGCTCTAATCGATCAGGGACATGTGAGTTGTCGAGGAGTGCGCCCGAACTGTATCTAGGGTGTCGGATTGTGCTGGATCTCTTATTCTTCTTATCTATGATCATTTATGTGGTGGTGCAGGTTCCCCTCGGGTCTAGGAAGAGTAGTCGACGGGACGGAGGGCACAGGATCATAGGGTGGCAGACCCCCAGCAGTGATAGTAGTTCGACGGGACTCCTCGCTAACTTTGTTCAGTGTCTTGGATGTTGCTGATGAGTTACCGCCCATACGTAACCTCCTGCGTAACCTTCGCTAATTCGGACCTAGGACTTGTAGGGACTTGACGAGGAGTAGCTCGATTAATTTGTGTTGCTCGAAAAGGGGTATCTTGAGAGTGGAACATCTGATATGCGAGGAGACTCGAGTTGGGGAGACTTCGAGATTTGAGACTTTGTAGTGGGTTTGTGTAGAGTGGGGATTCTATTGGTAGCGGAGTACTTTGGAGGGGTATCTTCGAGAGGGAGATGTAATGGGGAGGGGTCTCGAGAAGGTCTTTGAGAGAGCGATGGTTGTTGGTTGTTGGTGAGAGGCACTACGAGATTAGGGTTGGAACTCGATGGGGAGGGGAGCTGCGAGAGCGGACGTTCGTATTTGAGGTGTTTTTGTGAGGATTGGAGATCTCTATATGATGTAACTTGGAGAGGGACTTCTCGAGTAGGCATGCTTGGAAAGGGACTCGAGACGGGACTCAGAGGGTGGCTGAGAATGGGACTTGGGCAAGGGACTCGAGAGGGGACTTTTGTCGGTCGTACACTCGACAGGACAGGGGAGCTGAGTCGGCCAGAACGCCGACAGGACACTGGGAGCTTGGTGTCGTTGGCTGTTCCGGGATGAGCTGACAATAGGGACGAAGGGTTGTGCTCTGGAGGTCAAGTCTTTTCTTATGGTTGCTGGTGCCTGTTTGACTGTGATTAGTCCTATAGTAGTTCAGTGTTCTCCTGGTGCTCTCGGGGTTGTACGTGTGTTAGCGCTGGATTTGACGTACTCCTTTCGGTAGGGAGCTGGTTTTGGCAGGCTTCGGTCTGTATTTTCCAAGGTTGCGCAGGACGTAGTAGCACGAGAAGGGATCTTGGTAGCAGGTAGCAGAAATGAAGAGAAGAGGAGGCGGGGGGTGCGGGATCTCCATGCCTAGGGGGTGAGGGTATGTGGTTGACAAACTTTTGG